CTCAGGACACAGGCCAGGATATTGTGAGCAACAGGTAATTGAGGGCTATGTAGGGTCCAAGTTGCCAGGCAGCTAGCTGTGCCAGCTCTGGGATTGTAAGGCTGGCTCCTCCTTGTGTAGATTGTGCCTCTGGGCAAGCTCTATAGTTTCTCCGCACTTCAGCTCAATATGAAGGTTAATAGGAAGATCTACACTTAAAATGTGCCACTTTGCACAAAGTATTCCTCACCAAAAAAAGAGTAAGAATGGTGGTGTTACACACCCAGACTTCAAACTATACTACAAGGCTACAGTTATCAATACAGTATGGTAATAGGACAAAAATAGACACACAGACCACATGGTATAGAACTGAGAGCCCAGAAATAGACCCATGCTTATATGTTAATCAACAACAAAAGATCCAAGAGTATAATGGAGACAGGAAAGCCTCTTCAACAAATGGTATTTGTAAGACTGGATAGCCACATGCAAAATGATGAAACTAGCACTATCCCACAATGCACAAAAATTATTTCAAAATGGATGAAAGGCTTGGATGTAAGACTTAAATGCATAAAATACATACAAGAAAACAGGCAAAATGAAATAGGCTTCAGAGATGTCTTTGTGGATTCTGCTCCAAAAGCTAGGAAACAGTTGAGCGCTGGGCTGCGAAGCTGCCCGCAGCCTCTGCAGCGCCGTTCGATCCCCGGCCACCGCGGGTCCCACATGGCGCGCAGGCCTCTCCTGCCGCCCGCTGCTCCCCTCAGCAGTGTATTTCGTTGGTCTGCCTGTTCTGTTCCCCGCTCTGGCTCTGGTGAATTCTCTCACCCTCCCGTGCTTCTGCTGTACCCAGTGCTTGTATAAATAAATAAATAAATCTTCAGGAAAAAAAAAAAAAAGCTAGGAAACAAAAAGAAAATGTAAACAATTGGGATTCACACCAAACTAAAAAGCTTCTGTACATTGAAAGAAACCGTCACTACTGAATGGGAGAAGATATTTGCATACCACACATCTGACCAGGGGCCGTAGGAGGTAAATAATTCTCAGACTTTTCTGCCCTCCTGCTATTAGGATTGCCCTGTCCATGGGGTACATGCATTTGTTACATTGTTATAAGTTATTTACTTCCTCGGGCCATGGCAGCAGTATTGAGATATTAGCCAAGAGAAGCAGAGGCAGGAGAGAGGAAGAAGAGAGAGAGAAGCCCAGAGTGAAGACTTGCCAGGGGCTTGGCGGCCTGCTGGCCTCCTGGCCCCCCCCCAGCACCCCTGCCTGCCGTGTGCCTGGTTGCTGCACTACATGTAAAAGCCCAATAAAAGCCTGAGAAAGCCACCGAGGGCTCCAGGGCTCTCCTTTACCATCGTCTGCTAGGATCATAGATTCCTGCTCTGTGGCTATCCTGCCCCTACAGGCTGCTAGCCAAGATCTATGAAGAACTCAACAGAAAGCCAGCCAATAACCCAATCCAAAAACAAATGGGCAGAAGAGCTACATAGGCGCTTCTCCAAAGGAGACAAATAGACGGCCCAAAGACACATGAAAAAATACTTGTCACTTATCATCAGGGAAATGCAAGTCAAAACCACACCTGTGAGGGTGGGCCGTAACAGAAAGACCAGAAACAAGCGCTGGTGAGGATGTGGAGGAAAAGAACCTTGTGTGCTGTGGATGGGACTGTAGATAGGGCCAGCCCCGGTGGAAACAGTATGGCTGTTTCTCAGAATATGAAAAATGGATCTACCACATGACCCAGAAGTTTAACTCCTCGATGTCTACTTGAAGAACATAAAAACCCTAATTCAAAGGGAAATATGCACTGCTATGTTCACTGCAGCCGTGGTTACAATGGAAACAGCCTATGTGCCCAGAGACGGATGAGTGGGCCCGGGGGATGTGGTCTACACACACAGTGGAATACTACTCAGCTACCAAAAAGACAAGCTCTTGCCATTTGTGACAGCGTGGGTGGAGCTGGAGGGGATGTTGCTAAGTGGAATAAGTCAGAAGGAGAAAGACAATACAGAATGGTGTCACTTTTATATGGATATATAGAAACAAAACAAAGGGTCAGCTAAAGCCAGACCAGTAACAATCCCTAGAACTGAGGCTATGGAGGGCCGGGAGAGAACAAATTGGGGAGAGGCCACAAAAGACTTTGGTGAAGGACGATGGGGCCTTAGTGGTGGGTGTGGTGTGGTGACAACTCCTGAATGGGGAGGCCCCATACCTCTAAACCACAAGCAACATTGCAAACCAAAAAAAATTTTAAGTTGTGGCTCAGAGGTTAAAAAGACTGGAGTGGGTCCCACCCCCACTGCTTATTTGCTGTGACTTTTCACAAGTGTCTTAGCTTCTCTGGGCCTCAGTTTCGTTCTTGGTGAAATGGGAGTAGTAACATCATGGGATGGCTGCAAGGATTAAATGGGTTGATACCACCCCAGTGCCCAGTCAGGAACTCCCTGCCCCATTGTAGTAGGCAAGGTTCCTCCAGAGCTGACTGAGACAAGGATTTACACAATAGCCTATTCAGAAAAATGGCCTCTAAGGGAGGTACCTCTGAGGGAGTGGGTGAGACAGGGACAGGGAGGAAGCCAAGAGGTGCATGAACAAGGTTGCCTTCGTAGATTATGGGGGCTCAATCCTTCTGAGGGATGGTAAAGAACCCTTCAGCATCTTCAGCATTGCCTCCCACCCAACCCTGGAAGGCAAGCAAGCTGGAATGTCTGCAGTAGAAAGCACAGGTCTGTTAGGAAGAGTTGCAATAGAGGCTGTCACCCCAGGCCTTTCTGAAAGCTTCCAGCAGCTCCTCGGGGCCCCTGCTCACCATTGATGCCTGGGTTGATTTGAGGGATGTCTATACCACATCTACCTATCTGCACCCTCGCAGGGACCTCAGAGCACCCTCTGAAATATTTTCAGCAGGACTGGGGCATGATCCATCCAGTATTTAACGGTGATCCCTCCAGCTGAGCAGAGAAAGCCTGGGGAAGGAGCATCAGCACAGGGGGTGATAGGGCAGACATTCTCTACACGCTGGGTGTGGTTCCGATCAGCAGGCCATTTGGATCTTCAGAGCAGGGAATTTAAGGAACTGAGAGTTGGAGGTTGAAAGAGCCTTGGGTAAGGAGGCTGTGTAAGGAGGGGCAGGGTCCAAGCTGCTTCTGTGATGGGAAGTGGTACCCCTGGACAGGGGCACAGAGGCTGAGCCTGCAGATGGAGCCTCAGAGGAGCCAAGAGGGCAGGACTGACACTTGTGCACAGCACAACGGCGCAGCTATTGTGAAAGGCAGTGGAGAAGCCTGGCTTACGCTTTGGGAGGTGAGCTCCACAACCTGAACTCATCCAGAAGCATCCCGGCTATGGGTGGCCCCAGCCAAGGAGTGAGAGTGTTAGAGGATTCTCAACCCCTTTTCCTCCAGGACCTTTGTCTAGATTTTCCTCCTCTCTTTCTCCTGGGTCAACAGTCAAGATACCCTGGGCCCCACCTGACACTCTCAGACCTGCTCCTGTCAGCAGCGTGACTCAGCAGATGAAGCTGTGCTCATGGCTGAGGCCCTGGGGCTCCAGCCTGCACCCCGAGCACGCTTGGACAACTTCCCAGGCCCTCTCACACTACCCCTCAGCTGGAGACACAAAGGTTTCTAAAAGAAGCCACTGGGACAGCAGAACAGGGTTCCTGGGATCCCTGAGGGCCATCCCCAAGAGGTTCTAAGAATAACAGAGAGCTGGGAGACAGTTGGGCATCTTCCAAGAAGTTCTTCTAGTGAAAAGGGATGCTGTGAGAGAATCAGAGCCCCCAGCCCCCACCCTACCCTGGGCTCTCACGCAAAGGAGAGGCCGCAGTTCAGCTGGGTGGGCAAAGGCCCTGTCTTGGCTGAAAGGAGCCTCGAACATGACCTTCCCTCTGTTTCTAGAACTGGAGTGGGAGCAGGGAGCCGAGAAGGCAGCCGCGTGGCGCCGGTGTGCCACACAGGACAAAGGCACTGCATGGTCCTGCAGCCTCAACTTCACACAAAAACATCAAAAGGGTTGCGGAGGGACAGTCACAGATGAGAAAGTGGGGGTGTGAACACTACACATATAACTCAGGACTTAGATCTGCCGTCTCCAGGCCCCACCGGGGAACACTCTCTGGGGGTCAAATTGTTAGGGGGAAAACGATGAACTAAAGCTAATTCCATACAGGCTTTGTGGACTCCACCCCCACCCCAAGCCAAAGACACTGGGAACTCCAAATCCCATCACCACCAAAGGGAAGGTGGCTGGGACCTGAGGGTGGGGTTAAGCAGCCAGGTTTGGTATAAAACCAGACACGTGGGCTTTGGAGGGGGTCCCCCATTTTGGCTCTCCGCCAGCTCGCAGCTTCCCGCCAGCTCTGAGAGTGACTTTGGGTTTCCAGGTCGGCGGATCGGGTAGGACGCATTAAAGACTTTATTTCCCTATTTTCTCCCTGAGTTGTACATTTTCCCTATTTCCTTTTCCCTTGTAAATAAACCCTTTATTAACCTTTTGTGTGTGCCTGCAGTGGAGTATTAATAAGACCCTTGTAAGCGCGCGGGTGAGGACCCACAGCCAGGAACCCGCTCAATATCGGGGCTGCCCTGTAACAAAAGCTCCCTTGGGATCATCTTAGACACCCCAAGTTGGCGCGGTCACCCCTACTGGGCGGGCCCGGGCGGGCCCCCCGCCCAAGGGTGCAAGAGTGACTTGGCAGCAAAGTTTCCACCTACAGATCTTCTCCCCACTCCGTCCTCTCCCCTCCCCGCTTGCACATTCCCTTCCCCCGGAGACTGCGGCGCGGGAAGGGCAAACGCGAAGGTCAAGCCCGGACTCGCCAAACTCAAGAAACGCGCCCCAGCGCTTTGCGCACGCGTCGGGCAAGCCCCGCCCCCTAGGGCGGTCGGTCCCGCCCCTTCGCCACCACCAGCCCCGCCACACCTCCTCGGGCTCGGCCCGGTCGCGGCGCTTCGACGTCATAAGACGGCGCCTGACGTCGTAAGACGGCGCCGTAGTCCCGGGCGCCGGAGGCTGCACGTGGGCTCAGGTTTGGCAACTCTCCGGCCCAGCCATGGACACGCCGCGGAGGCGCAGCAGGCGCCTGGAAGGACTAAACCCTGAGTCTCCCGAGAAGTCCACCGCAGCTCCACGAGCGCGACGGGCCCTGGTGGAGGTCGAGTCGAACCCTGAAGAAACGAGGGAGCCCGGGTCTCTTCACGGCGCTCTGCAGCCTATCCCGGAGTCCCCCGAACAGCAGCTGGAGACGAGCCCGGGATCGCCCAGTCCGCGGCACCCAGGTCACCCGGATGCTGGCTTGGGGTCCCCCCGGAGGCAGCCAGAGCCGGACCCAGAGTGCCCCCAGGAGATCTGCTATCTCCAGGGTCACCAGGATCCTGGCGTGCGGTCGCCCCGAAGACAGCCACGGCCGAATCCAGAATCCCTTCCACTTCAGCCAGAGCCAAACGGCGAATCACCGAAGTTCTCCCTGGGCCAAGAAGAACCGAGCTCGGAGTTGATCCAGAGTAAGGAGGAGTTGGCTCCGGGTTGCCCCCGACATCAGCTGCAGCCGGGCCCAGGATCTCCTGAGCCTTACCCCGGTCAGCAAGCGCTGGGTCCGGAGCCCTCGCGGCCGCTACAGGAACTGACACCCCAGTCACCAGGCTCCCCGCGGAGTCAGCTTGAGCCGAGTAAGCCGCTTGAGCCGAGTAAGCCACCTGCGGCGGGGGACACCGTGAGAGATGGCCTCGGGGCAAAGAAGCGAAAAGGCTCTTTGGCTGTGGCTCCCGCGTCCAAGAAATTGAAGGAGGAGGAGGTTCCTGTAATTCCGAAGGGGAAGCCCAAGTCAGGGAGAGTGTGGAAGGACCGCTCCAAGAAGAGGTGAAGTGAGGGACAGCTGGGCCGGTGGGGGGTTCTCTATGATATTAGGGGCCTGGTGCACCCCTGGGTTCGAGATAGCTCACATCGGTGGGTGTGTCACACAAACCGGTAGTTGACAGAATGCAGTAAAATGCCCTGGATCCCAGGGAGTTGAGACCATGGCCCCAAAGATTACGCTTTCTTTTTTTAAGATGTGTTTATTTATGCATATAAGAACTGGGGTACAGGCCAGAGGTGCAGGGGGCGAGCGGATTCACCAGAGAGAGTGGGGAGCAGAACAGATGGATCTACCGAAATACACTGCTGAGAGGTGCAGCGGATGAGACAGGAGAGGTCTGCTGCGCCATGTGGGTTGACTCCCTGGCTGGGGATCGAACTTATGCTGCAGAGGCTTTGGATAGTTTCACAGTGCTGTGCTTAACCCCCTGCACCACCAGGGAGGCCCACCCAAAGGTTACTCTTGATGCTTCCTCCTCGGGTCCCTGTGGTCCCTCCTACATAGTCATTCAAAAGGCATGTTCCCTTGTCAGCCCTGTCTCAGTGAGGGAGGTGGAAGAAAGTTAACCAGCCCTTACTTGACACTTGTTGAGGTCTTTACCCTCTACGATCTGTTACAGTTACTCACCTTTGTAACAAAAGGTCTAGTGGGCCTGGAAGAGTTCCCTATTGTAGCTTAACTATAGCAGTGAGAAGAAAAAAAAAAATCCTGAGGAAAGCAGGATTTTCAAGGACCTGGTTTCATTATATCACGTCCTTTCCTTTAAAGTTACGTTCGGGGGCCTCTCTGGTGGCGCAAGGGGTTAAGTACCACACTATGAAGCAATCCGCAGCCTCTGCAGCATGAGTTCTATCCCCATTTGGCCAGGGAGCAATCCGCATGGTACAGCAGACCTCTCCCGTCTCGCCCACTGCTCCCCTCAGGAGTGTACTTAGGTCGATCTGCCTATTCTGTTCCCCACTCTGTCTCTGGTGAATCCTCTCACCCCCCACACCTCTGGCCTGTACAATTCTTGTATGCATAAATAAATAAATCTGCAGTTCCCAGGAAGGACTCACCAGCACCAGGTAAATGGGATGCTGCCGAGTAAAGGCGGCCTGGGGACCAGCCTTCACACAGGAAGGGCATGTGTTATCACATCATGTGCACACGATGTGCATATCAGCCCCAGAAAGCAGCAGCAGGGGTTTGTGTTGTGGTTTTGTTTTTGTTTTTGTTTTTTTTTGAAAGATATATTTTTTTTTTTTTTTAGATTCATTTATTTATACAAGAACTGGGGTATAGGCTAGAGGCACGGTAGGGTGACAGGATTCACCAGAGACAGAGTGGGGAACAGAACAGGCAGATGGACTGAAGACACTGCTGAGGGGAGCAGCGGGCGAGACAGGAGAGGTCTGCCATGCCATGTGGGTATCTCCCTGGCCAGCCAGCAATAGAACCCACACTGCAGAGGCTGCAGACAGCTTCATAGCACTGCACTCAACTTGCTGCACCACTGGGGAGGCCCAGCAGCAGGTGTTTTGACTCATTTTACACATAAGAAAACCTGGGCTCTGTGGGGGGCCCAGAGGGTGGCCCGCCTAAGTGGGCAGGGCTGAAAGCAGAGATGCTGCAGTAAAATTAAAACACCTCTGAAAGTCTCTGTTGGGTGGGTGAAGGGCCAGAGGGCTGGTGGATTGATGTTGGGACCTTTGAAGAAGGAGCTTCGGCTGGTGGGGTTAGTGGCGAGAGAGCCCAGGTGGGGTGGAGGCACGGTCTGCGGGAGGTGCCCCAGGAAAGGGGATCTGGCTGCAGCCCCGCCTTCCATGCTTATACCTGATGCCACCTTTGCACAGCGCTCCTTGGGATGCACGGCCGTTCTCTGAAGGGTGGCATTTATTGAGCACCTACTATGTGCAGAGCAATGTGTGGAGTGTTTCCTGGGCCACATCTAAGTGAGTCCACCAAACCCCCTTTGGGTTGGGACCAATTCTTGTTTCCATGTAACACAGAATTGTGCGGAGAGCACCTGGTCCAGGGAGAGCACCTGGTCCAAGGTCCCCACATAGTAATGATGGATTTAGGTCTCAGAAGCCGGGCCTGTCCTTCAACTCCCAGGTAAACCAGTGCTCTGGAATAGCACAGCCCCACCAGCCACATATGGCGATTTAAATTTATTAAAATTAAAAAATCATTTCTGCCTCATACCAGCCACCTTTCAAATACGCAAGAGCCATCATGCCTAGCGGCTACCTCATAGACACTGTCTTTGTACAAGCTGGGTGCTTGGGGAGAAGCCCTTGAGCTGGACCTTATAAGAACCTGTTCTCCCCCATCCAGGTTCTCCCAGATGGTTCAGGATAAGCCCCTGCGCTCGTCCTGGCAGCGGAAGATGCAGGATCGGCAGGAAAGGAAGCAGGCCAAGGACTTTGCCCGGCACCTGGAGGAGGAGAAGGCGCGGCGCCGGCAGGTAAGAGGCCGGACAGCCAGGCTGGCCTGTCCACTGCAGGCCAGGGGGTCAGGGACACTCACCCACATGCCCAGAGCAAGGCTACCTGGGTGGGGGGGAGCCCGGCCAGAGTGGGAGTGCTCTCAGGGACCACGGGGTAGGAACACCCAGGGGAGCATCCAGGTGACCTGGGGTCCCTGTGGGGCAGAAAGGCTGACAGATTGGCAGGACTCATCCTGGGTAACGTTGCTGTCGTCCTCCAAGAAGCAGCTGCCACCACCCAGCAAGGTGAACAAGCCTGCACTCCTGCCGTTCTCTCCCTCGAGCTCACCCGGGGCCAAAAATGCCCCATTAGAGACTCGGCCCAACCTCCTGTTTCTCCAGGAAGCCCCAGCTGGCAGCATCAGGGAAAGCATGTGGTGGCGTTGTCCAGTGACTGCCCACCAGCACCAGGGTTATCAGTGAGAGTCACTAGTGGGCCCAGGGACCCAGGAGGAGACAAATACCTGGCCCCAGACGGGCCACTGAGTAGGGGATGGCGGGAGGCCCAGCCACTGGCTCACCTGTCCCCTGCTTTGAGTCTCCCCAGCTCAACCGATGACCTGTGGGTAGTGGGCTGCTGCGTGTGCTGGGGCCTTCTCTAACTTCCTGTGTGGCCCTGACTCCTTGGGTAACTCACTTCCTCACATGCCCTCAGAGGCACCTCTGCCCAGCCCCTGGCCCGGACCTTTCCCTGACTCTGGGCGCCCACATCTCACTTCTCCTTTCTGCCCAAGGGCCCAGGTCACCCCCACTACCCCGGGTTGCCAAAGCCAAAGGCCCCAAGCAAATGTCCTGCCCACTAGGCCTGGCTGTCAGCATTGCTGAAGTACGGGCTTCTGTCCCCCACGCAGTGTTCCCGGGGGGTGGTACTATCAGGCCCTGTACATGTTCATTCTTTCCTCAGGAGCCCCCAGCCTCTTCTCGGCAGCCTCCACCCTTCCAGCCCTGCACCCAGGCAAACCTCAGGAGCCCACCCTCACCCTTGGCCTTGCATTCTAGGGGCATGGGGCTTGGGGGAGACAGGGAGACTCCCAAGAGATTCCCTGGCATTTGATGAGGGGGATCAGAGGGACCGCTCACTGTCAGCGTGTGCCTGATTCCCAGCCTGGGAGCCCTTGGTGTCTTAGCCCCCGCCATCCCCCAGTCCTGTCTAAGCCCCTGTCCTCAGCTGCCTGTCCATCTTCTCGGAGAGAGTCAGGAACTTGCCACCATGGTCCTAGATGTGCCATGGGCTCAGAATGGCTCCTAGCTAGCCCTCTACCCACCCCCCGCCAGGAAAACCAGGAGCTGGGGTTCCCTCCTCCCTGGCACTCTGCCAGCTCCCAGTCATCTGGGGCCTTGAGACTAGGGCCGTCTGGCTCTAAGACTGAAAGCCCCTTCCCCGGTGTGTTCCAGGAGAAGAAGGAGCGCCGGGCCGAGAACCTAAGACGCCGCCTGGAGAATGAGCGCAAGGCAGAGGTCGTTCAAGTGGTGAGTGCTCCCTCCCCGGGGTCCCACCACCGGGCCGAGCGTTGTGTGCAGGACGCCTTGCGCCCCGGGCCCCTGTGGCACTCCCAGGCCCCTACAGTGGCCTCCCTTTCCCTGGGGCACCGACAGGACTGTCCAGCCACACTAATGCCCTCCCTTCCCACCACCCCCAGATCCGCAACCCAGCAAAGATCAAGAGGGCGAAGAAGAAGCAGCTGCGCTCCTATGAGAAGCGGGACACCCTGGCCCTGCTGCAGAAGCAGCCGCCCCAGCGGCCAGCAGCCAAGAGCTGAGCTTGGGACGCCCAGGCCTTCGGTGGCCAGCCACCCTGGCTGTCAGACCGGCACCCTAACGCTGGCTCTGAGACAAGCACCCTACCCCAGGGGGGGCTCAGCGCCTTTGAGAGCTTTTGGGCAGGTCTTTCGGACAAAGATCCAGAGGGAAGCCTGGGACCTGGCAGCAGCTGGAGGAGGAAAGAAGTTCGGCTTCCTCCCCACCCCCCAAAAAAAACCCAACACCTCATTTCCCCTCCTTCTCCAAGTGCCTTCAAGCCAAGAGGAGTAAATTCTAGTTCTTCAGGGAGTTGGTGACTGGAGAGGGACACCCCCAAACGTGGATGATCTGTCTTAAGGTCCTGGCTCCAACCCAGGCCAGGAGGCGGCAGTCAGGAATCCAGCTCGGATGGGGCTTCTCTCCAGCTGCCTCTTCCTGTGCCAGACTCACGCCCATCCCATCTACAGCAGAAGTATTTATTCAGCACGGGCACAATTCGGACAGCGGACAAGTCCCTGCCCCCAAGGAGCTTTCATTCTGATGGCAAAACACAATAAACACATCAAATACATAAGTATCAGGTGGCAAGTGGGAGCAGGGCCGAGGCGCTGGGGGGATGTCTGCACAGCCGGCTGATGTACATCGGTTCCGGGCGCTTCCAGGGGCCAGGCCTTGCTGGCGCTGGGAGGACAGGGTACAAAGCTCGCCAGCCAGCCCGCAGGGCCAGTCCTGGGGTGGCCTCAGGAGCACTCGCCCCAAGAAACCCATTCTGCCTCTTCCGCTAACATTTCACACACACACACACACACACACACACCCGCCAGCATTTGCCGGCACCCGCTCTGTGCCAGCCCCAGGGAGGCAGAGGTAAAATGGAGCAGTGTTTGTCCCCAGGTCCAGGGCAGGTAGAAGAGCCAGGCAGGCGGGGTTCAGTAGCAAGTACGAGGAGCCCCTCCATCTGCAAAGTGGAAGTGACAGCCGCTCTGCCCGTGTGTGGCCGGGAAGTGGCTGCTGCGGAGGTGCTGAGCCCACCCTGCAGCTCCCCCCGCCCGCACAGGTGTCCTGCTCTGGCCTGGGAGGCTGCAGCGCGTATTCAAACACCAAGGCCAGGCCCCTCTGAGGAGGCCGGTGGCACGGACCCAGCTTTCCCAGACTCCTCTCGTTCCACCTTGTAAGTGCACTTTGGGCAACGCTGGTCAGAGGGCACAGCAGGGGCTCTGATGCAGCTATCTCTTAAGTCTGTTGGGGCTGTCGGATGTCTTTCACTTCTTAAACTCAATGAGCGTACGACCCTTAGGTAAGCAGGCACCTCACTCTGCTCTTCTGTAAAGATCGGGGTTAATAAAACGAGCCCCTCGAGATTACGGGGTAAAATGTGTATGGTGTGAGTAAATGTGTGTGTGAAGAGGCTGGAGTGGAACCGTGTCCCCAAGCATTTCCCACATGGCTATCCCAAAACTACATCGGGGGTTTAATGTCCACCCCACCCCCCATCGCCAGGTGTCACTGAGCTCCAGGAAATCCGCTACCCTGGTGGAGAAGTCATGAGTCAACCTGGGCTGCTCCAGCGTGGTCCGCGGACCACAGGCCCTGACATCCTGGAAGCTGTCAGAAAGGCCCATCCAGCCCCGCCGCCCGCGCCACCGGAGCCCGGCTGCACTTCCACAGGCTCGCCAGGGCCACTCATACAAGTCTGAGTCACGCGGCGTAGCTCCCGTTGTTTCTGAAGAAGGACTCAGTCACCCTGGGTACTTGGAAACGCAGATCCCTAGACCGGACTCGCCCCTCGGGGCTGGCGGCGCGGTAGCTGCTTCTCAATGCTGGTGTCTGCAGGATGCTCTAGCGCCCAGCCACGGTCCAGCCTCGCCTTCCCGGGGAGCCTCGCCTTCGCGGGTGGCGCCTCCTAATCAGAAGTGGCGCCCAGCGCCTCCTGGTTCAGGGGCCCGGTCTCGTCCTGGGATGGGGCCCGCCCCTGCTGCTTGGACCCGTCGCGGCCGCCCCGAAGCCAGCCCAGGAGACGCGCGGAGCCGAACGAGGGCAGGCGGCGGCCGTCCAGCGAGAGGGCCGTGGCCGAGGCCGTGGTGGAGGAGCCGCGGCGCCTGCGGCCGCTGCCCAGGCCACCCAGCTCGCTGTCGTCCACCAGCACGCTCTCCAGCACGCTGCGCAGCGAGCGCCGCAGCCTGCTCAGCAGGTCGGGGCAGGTGAACACGTAGAGCAGCGGGTTGACCACGCTGTTGAAGAAGGCCAGGCTGGTGACAAAGGGCAGCCCGCGCCACGCCAGCGGCCCCAGCGCCGGGTTGGCGTGCGCCCGCGCCTCCAGCAGGCTGAAGATGTGGTAGGGCCCCCAGCAGAGCACGAAGGCCACCACGATGGCCGCCACCAGGCGCACGAAGCGGCTGGAGCGCCGGCGGCCACGGTGGCGCAGCTGCAAGCTCACGGCCACGTGGCTCGAGGCGATGACGGCCAGCGGCACCAGGAAGGCCAGCAGGAACTTGCTGACGGCCAGGGCCATCTGGCGCGAGTGGCACGTGGCGTTGCGGTCCCGGCCCGGGCTCAGGAGCAGCACGTTGTAGTAGCACATGGTGCGCCCGTCCTGCCGCTGGATGGTGTCCCGGAACACGAAGTAGGGCACCGTGTTGAGCACCGCCAGCACCCAGAGCACCAGGCAGACCTTGTGCGCCGCGGCCACCGTGCGGTGGTTCTGGGCCCACACGGGCCGCGCCACCTGCAGGCAGCGGTCCAGGCTGATGGCGCTGAGCAGGAAGCCGCTGGCGAACATGTTGAGGAAGAAGGTGGACGAGTGCAGCTTGCAGAAGGGGGTGCCCAGCTCCCACGAGTGGCCCACGGCCAGGAAGTAGGTGAAGAAGGGCAGGAAGGCGGCGGCCAGCAGGTCGGACAGCGCCAGGTGCAGCACCCAGGTGGTGACCACGGTCTGGCGCATGCGGCAGCCCACCACGAAGAGGATGAGCCCGTTCTCCACCAGGCCCAGCAGCGCCGCCAGCCCGTGCAGCACCACCGACACGTGGTCCATGTAGCGGATGCTGGAGTTCCTGTGGCTTTGGAGACGGCTCATCTGCTCCAGAAGCGGGCAGAGAGGCTTCGTCGTGGCGTTGGCCAACATGGCGGCCCTGCAGCGCCGAGAAGGGGCTGCTGAGGCGGCCGGGCCGGAGGTAAGGGGCCCTCCCGGGAGTCGCCCATCCCGCCCCTGATGTTACAGACGACACCCCCGGGGATTGGGGACGCGGCAGGAAGGTGGGGTGATGGCTCCCTTGTGCCAGGGAAGGCGCTGGATGCATTAATGGGAAGTGAACTGCACGAATACAGCTGCGCGTCTGGAACGGGCTGGCACACAGTAAGTGCCACTTGAGTGTCGCTGTGATTGTTTTAAGCAAATGGATCAAATGGGAAAATAGGAAGGCCAGCCCCGCGGGGCTCCTCTCCCCAGTCCTGACAGGGCCTGACGGGGGCCCCACCGAAGGGGCAGGCGGATTTGACTGGCCTGGGGGATGGGGCTAGAGGGAGGAGACCGAGCCTTTAAGGAATGCTGCCCCTCCCCACCCACAGCACCACCTCCCCCCGACCCCCCCCCACCCCATCTTGCCTCTGTGCAGATCCTCTGGGGACCTCCGCTCCCACAGTGGCGGCTGGCTGGGTGTGTTGACCGCAAACACTGGAGCCAGCCCCTGCTCTGATAGGGGAGAGGAAATAAGATAAGAGGAGAGAGCTGGGCAGGAGGAACTACCAGATTGGGGTTCTGGGGGGAAGGGTTAGGGACATGAGGGAGGCTTGGGGGAACAAAAGCCCTCTCTCTGCCCAGGGGCAGCCACTCGGCTGCTCAGGAAACCCATCCTGTTGGTTCACTTACCCACTCACACCCACCAAGCGCGCACACCCACTAAGCGGATCGCCCTGGGGAAGCCCAGCTCTGGGAGCCGGCAGACACCCCACAACCTGTGCCCATCACCTCCCCAAGATCCCGAGCCTGTTGGGTGTAGAGCTGGTGGATGTTGGGGGCCACCTGTGAGAGGTTGGGGACAGGAGTAGGGGCCAGGGATTCAGGTCCCCCAACACGCCAGCACTGCGGTGAGCCCTTTACATTGATAGTGTCTTGCTCACGGCTCTCTCCACCTGATTCTTTTTTTTTTTTTAAGATTTATTTATTTATGCATATGAGAACTGGGGTACAGGCCAGAGGTGCGGGGGGTGAGAGGATTCACCAGAGACAGAGCGGGGAGCAAAACAGGCAGACTGACGACATACACTGCTGAGGGGAGCAGCGGGCGAGACAGGCGAGGTCTGCTGTGCCCTGTGGGTTGCTCCCTGGCCGGGGGTTGAACTCGTGCTGCAGCGGCTGCAGATTGTTTCATAGGCTGCGTCTTAACCCCTTGTACCACCAGGGAGGCCCCTTTCCATCCGAGTCTCCAGGTGAGGACAGTGAAGCTCAGGGGGTGAAGTCATGTCCCAAGCCGCTCCAGCCCCACAGACAGGTGGAGGAGCAGCCTCCCACCCTCAGCCTTCATCCCTCTCTCCCCTGCCTCTGCTGCAAGCAGATGATGAGGGAGGAGGAAGAGCAGGGAGAGGGGGTGAGGCGGTCACTCAGGATTTGTCATTCCAGGGACATCATTGAACAGGATGAGAAAATCCACACCTTCTGCAGGTCCCTTGTGGGATGAGCTCCCAGGGTATCAAGTCAAACTTCTCTGGCTGATGAGCCCCTGGGAGCTGGGCTCTGCAGGCCGGGGAGGGGGTCTCTGGGCACACGGGCCGTGAGAGTGCGCATGCTAAGCCCGGGTCTGCAGAGCAGTCACTTTGTGGTGACCCCATGAGACCCCACCTTCCAAAGAAGGAAATGATTTTGGAGAAGCATGGGGACTCCCCCCCTGCACCCCCCTCAGCTGCTGGGGGGAGGGAGAGGGGGGTGGTCTCCATGCCCAGCAGATGTGGACATGTCCACAGCATGTGAAACTTCCCTCAGTCCCACTCCTGAGGAGCCAAGTCCCACGGGTGAGCAGAGACCCCAGTCCTGCTGCGCCCAAGCGACCCTTCCAGATGGTCCTTCTGGCTTCCTAGAGGCCCCCCAGGAGCCTCAGGGAGCCCAGCACTTGGGTCCTGTTGGGCAGGGGGCTGTGGCAGAGCACGGAGCCTCTGGAGGCAGAGACCCGCGTTTGAACCCCAGCTCCTTGACCTCCTGGCTGGGCGGACTTGGGTTAGCTGCCCTCAGCCCTCCCCTGCCCAGACGCCTGTGAGCGCGGAAAGAGAAGCTTTAATGGCTCACTCGGCGCCTGGCGTGGAGCAGTGCCTGGGAAAAGCTGCCCCTTCCCGCCTCTGTGCGTGCCCCTCCAGTCTTGGCCAGCCCTCGGCCATCCCTGCTGTTAACCGTCCTCTCCCCTTCCCCGTGGGTCCAGAACGGGCACCGAGGCTGCCCAGCTACCACCTCCTTACCTGGGCACTGAGGGGCAGATCCCTGGCCTGGAGACCGTCAGCTCGTGGCTATGGCAGAGGCAGGAGAGTGAGGCTGAGGGAGGAAATAGCTGTTGGCTCCAGAGGGTGTGTGTGTGAGTGTGTGTTTTTGTGTTTAGGGGTGGGGTCAAGGGAGGCGGGGACAGCTGGAGAGTGAGTTATCACCCTGGTGCCCAAGCTCTCTCCAGCCGCGGTGAGGGGACAGGACTGCGGGCGCCCGCTCACTCCCCGTGCCTGCCTGGCAGAGCCCCGGGCCAGTGCCAGTGCATGAGGGGAGATAGGTGCATGCAAGTGTGACCCAGAGTGAGAGTGTGCCCGGGGGTGCATTTGAGAGTGACCGGTGTGTAAAGGACGAAGGTGTTTGTCTATTGCCCACTGCCCTGGGCTGCGCTCCCCTGTCCACAGAATCTACAGACAAGAAACCCCTCTGAATCCCCGGGCAGCAGCAGGCAGAGTGGGTACCATCCGCAGGGCCCCGCCCCACCCCGGGGCATGCGGCCAGGAAGGCAGGGCAGGGCAGTAGGCGGAGAGTGCAGGGAGGCCCCCTGGCTGGGAAGGGAGCTGCTGCCCCTTGCTGAACCCTGGAGTGAGACAAGGGTGGGAGCAGCTGCCCTCACTCAGGGAGCCCGGCACCGTGGGTGCCCCCCAGTCCCATCTTCCCCCTGGGGGTCGGGCATGGGCTGTCGGGCCAGGGGGATACAACTTTACCTAGAACAGACTCGGAGCCCTAGGGTGGGGGAGTCCACTGAGGTTGCATGGAATTGCTCCTGAGGCCTGTTCTGCCCTTTGCTGACCGCGCCTCTGGGGACCAGGCCTTGGATCTCAGCGACCCCGCAGCCAGGAGATACTCAATGAAGCATGCTAAGAACTCAGTGCCCCCATATCACAGCAAGGGCACCCCCTCCGGGAGACCGATCCTACAAGAATCTGCCACTCCCCCTTTTTAAATATTTTGTAATGCCGTAACTTTGCATTGTAGCATGATGCAGGTGTCCGCCGCGCGTCATCCCAAGTCGGCATCCGCTTTTCCTACGGACACTCCCCGCGGAAAGTCCAGGTCTGTCCTTCCCCATGCCACTGACCCCTTGGGCCCTGCTCGCTAATCTCGCTCCCCCACTTCCTTGCTGGTGATCGCTAATTTAGTCTTGTAACCAAACATTTATTTTTGGCTTATTTCAAGAATCTTCCATTTAGGCCCAGGCTTAACATCGGGTCTGACGCTTAATGAACTTGCACTGAGTGAAGAGTGAGTCAGATGCTGTCCCGGCCCAGTGGGATCTTGGTTCTCACCGTGGCCCAAGAGGACAGCTCAGGAAGTCCTGAGCCTCCCAGTCACTGGCGCCAGGAGAATGCCTCCCCCCGCTGGGTCAGGGAGGGCCGGGTCTCCCCAGACAGGAAGTCCTCCCTAGAGAATGGCCAGTGTTTCCAACCCATTCCTTGGGAGGACGGTAGCTCCATCCCCGCCAGCCCACACCTGGCCTCCTGAGCCCCGGGGCCTCCCCTAAGTCCACGCCCGCAGCGTGTGCGGTGGGTAAGCCCCAGGGCGCTGGCGTCCCCGTCCCACTCCCTGGCCTTGCGGCCTGGAGCGCATAACTTCACAGCAGTCAATGATGAATTTCATCAGGGTCCCCTTCTGCGTCGCCCCACCCCACAGTGCAGGGGCCAGAGCACGCCCGCAGCTCTTCGGGCTCAGAAAGAATCGACCCTTCCCACCTAGAGACCCATCTCAGCAAGGAGGATCCAGACTCGGGGCTGTTCAAGGTCCTCCCTCTGGATTCAGCGCCCCCTGCTCTCTCCACTGGGCGCCCTTGTGCAGTGAACAACCCGAGCGACCTCCCGGGGCGGCCCTGCGAAGGCGCTTCTGACCCGAAATCTTCACCCCCCGTTGCTACTTCCGGCCTGGGGGCAGCGCAGAGCAGGTAGGGTTGAGCCGACCTCAGACATGGAGCCTGCTGCCCTGATAATAGTTATCTTTTCCTATGTGGTCTGGAACTGTAGCTCCCTGATTCGGTGCCTGCTGCTGTGAAGCAGCCCCGACACACTGAACGTTCACTTCATGTTCCTTTCAGTCAGCTGGGCCAGGCGCGCGGGCAGATTTAATGAACTCGTGGGAAATTGCAGTGTTTTTGTTTAGTCTTCCGTTAAGTGTGTGTAGTAAAGATCCGGGCCTGAGCTAATTTTGTAAACACACTTGACCAAGGTTCAGAGGAACAGTCATTGGCAGGTAGCGATGCTTTCTATGGATTCTAAGGGATTTGTATTGTTTTTAAGGGATTGTAATGGGATTTTTATTAGTTTAAAAATGCAATTGAATCTACAAAAAAACAAGAACACTCCTCTTTGGGCCTGCCCCAATTCTCCCGAGGACAGCTTATGAGAGTTACCAAAACAAACAAAAATCCCCGGATGAGCAGGGCCTAAGGCATTTTCTAAAGAAGCTGTTTGCGTCTGCAGGGCCTAAGCTGCACTCCCACACTCCCACACTCCCACAGAGGAGGGAGGCTCCACATGGACTCTGAGCCCCGAGTCCCACAGTCTGGGGGGGACCTAGGACAGGGAGGGGTGCTGGGAGGGGGTGGGCTGGGCCTCCTGCCCGTGGCAGGCAGCGCAGGTGTCCAGCGAGTGGGTGGGGCCCTGGGCGCCCAGGCAGGGGCTCCCTGGCTG